TCGCGCGGTTAACTTTTGCATATCGTTTATTGTATATTGTCGATATTCGTATATAACTCCTTTATATAGTATGAAATATCCAACCTGTTAAGGGTAATACCTATGCAATTTCATGAACAACACTTGTATTCCCAACCACCACCACCACCAAATTACAACCATCTCCCTACCAACAAAATTTTGGGCGGATGTCATTAACCTCGAACATTACCCCTTGCTGTGTTTGTTCAACTGCAGAGACGACTTGTCCGCTCGGAAACCATAAATATGTTCATGCTAGGTTGCCAAAAGCAACAGCAATAACACGTCCTTGACTTTCGTTGCAATTTGTTGTTTTTTTTTGTATAATTTCATTGCACACCCTTCCGCTGTCACATCCTTTTATTGAAATGTCACTTGTTTTTTTTTTTTTTTTTTTGAAAATATCACATGTCAACTCCGCTGACTGATCATCCATCCTTTACAGGAAATTCCGTTTTGGTTTTGGTAAATTCCCAATTGACCGGTTTTTTGGTGTTGTTCAATTGACAATCAATTTCCAGATGTTATGTAATGGCCCAAAACACAATGACAATCGATCACTGGTAGGTAGGGTATGCCCCAGCCAGAATGGGCAACAACAGCAGCAGCAGCAGCAGCAGCAGCAGCTATAATAAAAAGGAAGATGTGTTAATTTCCACACATAGACAAAACGGCAAATGTGCCACTAGATAGCCCAGAGTACCAACTGACTTACCTTTGAGCAGGCGTTCACACCAAACCAGCCGTGAGCTCTTCAAGAACGGCAGCCACAGCAACAACAACGGCATGATTTTTCTTTCCAGACACATTCATTGCTTTGATAGCAACAAGTAATGCTTGTCGTCTTGTAGCGTTTTTTCCGTTTCTTTCCTTCGATTTGTGAAAGAAAAAAATGGAAAACACCTATCCGATGGTGTAGTAGTAGTTGTTGTTTTTGCTATTGCCGTTTTGGTGCAATCATGATCATGATCATCATTATCTTTGTAGTGATAATGATGACCATTGGTCTCAAATGCAGCTTCTGCCTACCCATCTATCTACCTGTTGACCACTTGAACACGTTTTCCGACTGCACATATAAGAATGCCAGAGAAGAGCCCAGCAACAACAGACAGAAGCACTAACAATTCCAATCGACCAACAACAACAATTACGTTGACAACACCAAGTAAAAAAGGCGACCAGACCAAAACAGAAAAGGAGGCAAAAAAGTCAACAACAACATTGACACCCGTTCAGCTAAGCAAGCAGTCGTCCCATCGACCGACCGACTAAACTCTGGACACAACAACTGCCCAAAAGACAAACAGACTGGGAAACATTCCCGTAACCATACCGGCAAACGATGAAGTTCATTTTTTTGTTGTTGGAAAACAAAAAGAAAAGAAGCAACGTTTCCTGCTGCTGTCATTTTAGGCCATGTTTTACTTATTTGGTTGGTCGAGCGAGCGAGCGATCGGTTGGTTGGTTAGTTGCATGCTTAACTGACATTTTTGTGTTCTCTACAAAATTATCGGTGTCTGCACTTGCACGGTTGAATAATATTCTGCCGTTTTGTATTTATTGCTTGTCTTTACACTCTTTAGCCAGTGCCCATCGGCCTCCACCTTGTATCTGCTCTCTTGGCTTTTGTACACGATCCCTTCAGCCCGCACATAATAATATACATAATGATATAATCAAAAACTCTGAAGGTCTTCAATTTAAAAATGTCAAGATTTTGGGTACATTTTTTATTTAAATCGATCGTCATTAGACATTTGGTGTTCTTAACGAGCTGCTGTTCTTCCAAAAAATGTCGATATAAGTCCAGAATTTGATATAGTTCCCATAGAACCACACACACAATTTGAAATCTTTGAAGGTTTTTTAACATATTTTCTCAATTGATTTTTCTAAAATTTAACTTTTACTTTACGGATACGCTGACGAATTGATGTGCAAAAAATTGTCAACATTCGTCAGTCCCGATTGTCAAGATTTTGACAAAATTTCTTAACAGATTTTGATGATTTTTGGCATCAGTAGTTACGCTAGAAAATTCAAAAATGTTTGGTATACCTCCCATATACATAAAGATACCTCCATATTTGACGTATTTTACATTTACATTATGGAAGACGAGTACGAACCACAAATGCATATATATGTGTATTTGAGTGAAAATACTAATAGTACCATTAACCATAACATTGAATCTGACAATAATATATAAAACAGTAGGATTTGGTGTAAATTAATTCTTGAACCGACTTTAATACTTTACATTTCTCCAAAATAATAACAAATAATTTAAAACATGTTGCAATCAGGTTTTCGTTTTTTTGCGGTTTAGAATCACTGCACAGAGCACAGAAAATTTAAAACCTGTTTGCTACTAAACACCAAAAAAATTTGTACATCCAATTTCACTGTTAGAGTAAAATCTTACTCTATTTCGACCATGTCGACTCCCTCTCTATTTTTTCAAACTGGATTAACTCGTGAGAGCTTCAATATAAAACAAAAGGGAAGAGAATAGATGGCCTGTCAGAAATTGTGATATATATGACATACTCTTCCAACATACATTCGTCCAAAAAGTCGTAAAACTGGGCAGTGAGGTTTCAATAATACAACCTATACGTTTATTAACCAACTTGGTATGTATTATGTGGAATATTACGATATTTTAAAAGCTTACGACGTTTTATAGCTTTTCTATGTTTTATACAGGTATCTGACATTTTCGACGTTTGCAACTTTTCGACAGTCGGACCACTGGAGAGTAAAGTAATAAACGATTAGAACAAGGTACGATTATTTGGCGGCTATATCAAAACGTGGACCGATATATCTCATTTTCAATACCAACCATCCTAGACACATTACAAATGCCAAATATTGAAGATCTACGTCAAATAACAGACAGACGGACATAGTTAAATCGACTTAGAATTTTATGCTGATTATGAATATATATACGAATATTTAGTGATGTTACGAACGGAATGACAAAGTTTATATACGCTCCTTTTCAAGGTGGAGGGTATAAAAAAGCAAATAGCGCGGGCGAACTTTAAATACCCTCCACTTTCTGAAGGAACTTGACAATTTTTTTTCAAAAAATTCCAATCAAAAGAAACCCGTTATTTGGGGGTTACCAAGACGAGGTCCTCTATGTGCAATTTTTTGTTATAGACTATTCCAAATAAAGGGAGGTGCCGTTGTATGTGGGCTATATGAAGACATGGTCATACATAGACAATTTTCCGTCATTTGTTGTAGTACCCATTACGAGCTTTTAATATGGAATTTAAAACAATTCCGGATAAAAGAGTGATCTGTGCAAAATTTTAAGTTCCTATCTTGGTTCGTTTTGACTCTAGCGTGATTGCAACAGAGGGACAGGGCTAAATTAGAATGTTACGTTGATCAAAAGAAGGTTTTGGTTACTTAAAATGTTGACCCGTTGTGGGAGAGTTACCAGATGGAATGGTCCGTTCTATTCCTTCTTCACGCCAGAAGTATTGCAATGAAAAAAAAATTGAAGAGAATCGGACTCCTATTTCACATTTTATAAGAGTTAAAATTATTCAAAAAAAAAAAAAAAAGACACCGAACACTGTGCGCAAATATATAGGGACATCATTGAAAGTCATTGTTGAAAGTCAATTTCAAAGGAGAACAGAACGTAGAATGTGGTGATCAGCGACAAAAGTATATGTAATTTTTGTAAAATTTTTTAATGTTTTGTTAATATACTTATGAAGATATTCTCGTTATTGTTTATTTTTAAGTCAATTCCCTGGTGATGATGATAAATTATGGTTGAAATATCGGAAAAATAAACATTCAAAAATAAAAACAAAATTTGTTTTTAATTTTCGGGAGCCATAAAGAAGAAAATAAAAGTCCAAGTTCAACAATCAAAATTTGAATTTCTATTACTTGATGGTGTAGCTCTGTTACAAATTTGCCAAGTTTGATCTTTTCCCTTTCTATGAGATAAACTATTTTCTTTGAAAATATTCACCTTTAGTGGGGGAGGTGCCAGAAGGAGTGGGCCGATATTACCCATCCTTACTCGGTCTAAGTTCGACAATAATATTGCAAATGCAAATGAAATGAGAGGGTAGCTATACGACTGAGGGTTTAAAAAGAGTATAGTTCGGCTGGGTCGAACTTTTATGACCCTCCACCATAAGGGGAAGAAAACCTAGCATAGGTTCTTTGTGATGTGCTAATTTTACAGCTTCTTTTGTTTGAATGCTAATGAAGTCTTGACATTTAAACAAATTCCAACTTTTTACCAACCAAATTTTAAACACGTCCGCTAGAATATGTTGCTTAAATTATCGTCTTTTTGTTTGCCAACTCTAGATAAAAAATATCCCGTCATATCTATGTAGAATGTGTCGGCCAGAGGAAAAAGTAGCCAAATATGAAATTTCAGAGATTTCCGTTAAAAAATTTGGCTACAGTTAATAAAATGCCGAGGAGGTATCTTTCTGTGGAGGTCTACACAAAACAGTGCACCGATATATTTCATTTTCAATCCCATAAAAATTTTGATCCCTTAAAATGTTGGAGTGATTACATGCATAATTAAATAGTTTTAATTTTTTAAATAAATAAATAAAAAAATTAGTAAATGATGATCGGAACTAGAGCAAGATATCTTGCTATTTGGAAATACTTTAAACCATCCCAACATTAAACAGAACACCAACAATTCTAATATAACGAATATCACAAACAATTCCGTTTGTCTACTATATACGGTCACTTTGCAACTCACTGTCCCTTAGCTTTAATTAGAAAACTTCACAATGATCATCTCAAAAGTTTCCTCAAACACACCCTAATGTTGTGGCTTCTTTGAATTGTATCAGTCCATAAACAAAGATCATTCCTCTTCACATGGACATATTTATGTGCCGATGAACTTATATTCTTCTTAATGCGAAATTCAATTCAATTTCATTTTTTGTTTGCAGATTTAGATGATGATGGCGATGAAAAGATCCAATGAAAACAAACAAAACAATGACTTTGGGACAATGTCCATGTGGTTTGTTTATCTAATGCTAATAATATTGATGCACTCCATGTGGATTGATGGCGTGGAGGCGCGACAGCAACACGATGATAAAATAAATGAGGCTGGACACCATAGAAGACGTGGCGGTGTCGGTGGTGGTGGTGGTGGCGGAGGTAGTGTGAAGCGTATAGACAGTGGTTCTGCGTATGAGGTATATCCTCACAAGAATCATCATCATCGAAATCGTGACAATGTCAGTCACCGCAATGCATTTCCACCAAATGCAATGGGTGGTGAAGGTGCTGTTGGCGGCAATGGCAGTGGCAACGGTCATGGCAATAAACGACGTGATCGTCCCAATGATAATCCCAATGGTCATCAACGGAAGCATCGTCATCGAAAACGCAATCGTTCCAACAACTCCAAAGAGAATCTCTCGCTGTGGATCAACGAGGAACAGCTGAAAATGTTAACGGGTAAAGTATGGCCATGGCACAATCGGAAAGGTGCTAAATCTGTTCTAAAAACATGTGCTTTTCTTAGCTCTATTCTTTCCTCAAGGTTATGTGCAAGGACGTGTCTATGCCATACACAACGGCCATGTGATGAACGATATCCGTGATGGTCGTATTTATGAATATCTTATTATACCGCCCGAGGTGAATCATGTCAATTTCACTTGGAAGTCGGGGCAGACGAAGTATTTCTATCATTTTGATCTGTTGGAGTCGATGGATGAGAGTATTTTGAAAGCCCCAACCGTATCGATAAAGACCAAAGGTCGTATACCCAAGGAGGAGAAGAGTAAGTTGTGACATTTTTGGTGGATTATTTTTTTTTTTCAATTCATATGTCTGAAACTTGTTAAAGATTTCAGCGTTTTCCTGCCCTGCAGCGGCAACAACAGTGGCACAGCCATGTTCAATGTCGGCCTCACCATCCAGAATGGCAATAATGTAACGCTGCCCGGCACCCCGATACGTTTGCACTTCAAAAAGGAGTGTGCACATAGAGGTGTGTATGACAACCCCGACACGACAAATCCCACACAAAACACCTCTCTCCAAGGTAGTGTATGCTCATAATCCTTTCTTTCCATCCCCAAATCCCCTTTCCTCATGGTCCCAGAGTTAACTTTAAATAGTTAAATGTATGAAGAAAAAGCTCTTAAGAGGATAAAAGTCTCATAAACTTTAACTTAAACTTGGAAAAGTCAGGTCCAGGTTAATGATCCCAAACCTCAGTATGTGACATTACCTACCATTTAGCAAGGCAAATGCCCTGAGGTCAAGTCCATTGATCCCATTTACTATTTATTAAACATGGATTATATACAGGGTGAGATGAAAAAACTGCCACCAACTTCAGACTTCTAAGCCACTCGTCCGACAGCTGTTAAAATTATTCCATTGACAGCATATTGTATTGTTTACAAGCGCACAAAAGCATTTTAGTGAGAATTTTCCGGAAACAAAGTTATTCGTGATGAAATTCAAGCGTGATAATGTGATTTATTTATATTTGGCTGGAAAACCACAAGTGGCTATCGTTGGAGCACCCCAGCATTTAAATGTGATTAAATCTTTTGTGTCTCGTACCATTGCTCGTTACCTTGATACTGGTAGCGTAGCCTGACGTCAAGGAAGTGGACGAAAGAAAACAGCAACATTAGCAGAAATGGCTCGAAAAGTGAACCAGCGACTTGATCGAAACCCGCGTCGCAGTGGCCGTGAGCTGAACATATCGCAATATTACATTCGGCAAATATTGAAACATGAGCTCGGGGTAAAGCCATTGAAATTCCTAAAAGTGCAAGAACTTACACCGCAATAGAAAGAAAATAGACTCAAAAGAGCTAAAGTGTTGCTTCGCTTGGCCGAAAATGGTGAACTGACAAATTTGGTTTTCTCCGATGAGAAAACATTCGTTGTCCAGCAGTTTGTAAACAAACAAAATTATCGTGTTTACTTGCCAAAGAGATCAGCTGAAAATGTGCACCTTCAGTTGGCCACCAAAACTCAAGCGCCGGCTATGGTGATGGTGTGGGCCGCCATAACAGCCGATGGTCGCTCTCCGCTCTTATTAATCGACCGTGGCATCAGAATAAATGGCGAATATTATTGCGAAAATATTCTTGAGGATGTACTAAAGCCTTGGGCACGCAAACATTTTGGCCGCAGACCTTGGACATTCCAACCGGACTCAGCACCATCGCACTCAGCACGCGCCAACCAAGAACGGTTACAAAATGAGGTTCCTCGCTTCATTTCCAGCGCACAATAGCTAACAAAATCTCCGGAGACCAATCCGTTGGACTATTGTGTCTGGAGTATTTTGGAAAGCAAGGTTGGCACTTAAAAATACCCAAGTGTCGATAACCTCTAGCAAGCGCTTCGCCGGGAATGGGACAAAATACCGCAGAACAACATTCGGGTAGCGTGTAACGATTACATTGGCCGTTTAAAGGCCATAATTCGTGCCTATTCTAACATTTGATGCTATTTCCGACATTTTTTGCTTTCATTCAATAAAATTTAAAAAAATGTAAAAATTATGGCGTTTGACTTTGTTGCAGTTTTTTTATCTCACCCTGTATTAAATATTCTATCTTAGAACTATCAGACCGTTCTTCTTCTTCGAGTGCTGTAGTCCAAATCCGTTTCTTGACGGCGGAAGAATAATCTAATTATCTTTCAATTAGATCTTTTCAATTAGAAATAAGCCAAGTGTTACCATTCAAGAAATAAGCACTACTTGCAGCTTCCCAGGAATTAGATGCATTTCAGTATAGTAGGTTTCAAGTAAAATTTTCGACGATTCGATTGGAGCCGTTTTGACTAGCTACTTCTAATAGATATACAGTATTCCAGTATTCAATAATAACAATGATAACTTTCGATTCTTCAAAGAAGACTCAGCTTTTGGTGTCTTCTTAAAACTTGAATCCGTCTAGGTATAGCTAATCGGCCAGAGGCAGATAGAATCCATTCCATTAATTTTCTTCACATTAGAATGAGCTGTTGTTATCTTCTTATATCTAGGATCCGTTTGTACATAGCAAATCGACCAGAGGCAGGTAAACAATTTCCAACAATTATTGATGTTTTAGGAACCGTTCTTTGAACCATAGCTGCATTTTGAAATAAATTAAAACAATATATGTTAGGAAACCATATGAGATAGAGAGTTCTGCAGGAATAATGCGCAATAAACGTCTTCTTAATTCGTTCCTCATCCTAATTGGCGGACATATGCAATTATTTACATTCCTAATTGCCAGGCATATGCGTATATTTACACTTCATTTTTGTTGTGTATAAATTTCCTCCATTTCTTCATCCAAATGTTTAACAATTAATCCCATACGCCTCGCCTCCTACATCCAAAAATGCATGATACTTTTTATTTCTTACTTATAGAGAAAATATGTTTTCTCTGATTCCATCCAACATTTGTCTGTCACATGCATCCGTTTTGATGCTGTATATAGACCCACGTCCAGCAATTAATTAATTATTCATTTGCTTTCTTCTGTTTTTTTTTTCTCTCATTCCAAAGGTCCTGATCCCGAGTGTCATTTGAAGTGTGGTGAACATGGTTTCTGTAATCATCGCAATATCTGCCAGTGTCATTCCGGTTATATCGGTCAGTATTGTGAGAAGGCGTTCTGTTTTCCCCAGTGCATGAACGGTGGTAATTGTACAGCGCCATCGGTATGCACATGTCCGGATGGCTATCAGGGCACACAATGTGAAGGGGGTAAGTATTGGGAATGCATTTAAAGGTAACAAACATAAACAATAGTATTGAAGATTTACAGATCGTTTAACGAAATTATTAAAAAATAAATAGTTTTTCATTGTTTTCCCTACTATTGAGTTTACAAACTCATCATTTGGGTAGAAAAAAGTTGTTTTCATAGAAGTTATTTTAAAATAGGTCCTGGGACGAATATCCCCAGACAAAAACCAAGGGAACTGATGAGGATTGGTGACTCTTTCCGTAACCATGATATTATCTACCTTACCCATAAAATGTAACGTTTTCTTTGGTCAATTGAGTGCAAATTATATTATTTAAGCACCAATTTTGGATTATTATATTTTCATCGTAAAACTTAAATTTAAAAATTATATAAAAAAGTTGAAAATTAGGACATATTTACAATAACAACATTCGTTTTATACTAATGATTAGATTTTCTTCGAAATTGCAATGGCTGTTTTACATCCGACTTTTATGACTTCCGTCATGGCCTTATAGAAGGGTGCTTGCTCTGCTCCACAATCAATGCCCGTGTCGTGATGTTCTTGTTCCTCATCGCGGAATTTTGTAATTGTTTCCAAGAGTTCCTGTAATGGTTAAAATAACACTTGTTTAGTAAAAATCCAATAGAAAGATCCACTTGTCATTATTGTAGGTTATGTTATTTAAAAACCAGCTAAGGAAGGTCAAAAGTCGGGCGGGTCCGATTATATGATTTCATATAGCACTGTTCATATTTAGTATAACTGCCCGTAAAAGATCAAGGTTTATATTGGGAATTTATATGAAGTAGATCATACCAACTTTGATCCTTTTTTGAATGCATATTATGATTTAGAGCGATTTATATTTGAAAGCAATATATAGGAGGAATACCCACATTCATGCTTGACATGACTCCAAGAAGTATTGTATTAAAAATATATAAATCGGAGCAACAGATATTTGGGAACCGATTTTCAGCAAATGGAAAAATTTGAATGTGCAAAATCCCATCCAATTTATATTACATATTTGATGCACAGTAACCGATATATGGAAGCTATAGCCAAAGAACCTTTTATAGCCGGGATAGGCGACTAGTAGGAGTCTTTAAATGTGGTTCGAAAGACCCTTGATGAGCTGTGTGAAGGAACAAAACTGTGTGAAGGCGAACAGAATTAGCCTTTCTAAGCGAGCAGAAAGAGTCTTTCTTGGCGAGCAGAAAGAGGCTTTACAGGCGAGCAGAAAGAGTCTTTACTAGCGAGAAGAAAGAGCCTTTCTTGGTGGCTAGAAGGAGCCATTATAGGTGAGCAGAAGGAGACTTTGAAGGCGACTAGGAACAGTCTTTGAAGGCAACTAGGAACAATCTTTGAAGGCGACTATGAGGAGCTATTACAATCTTAGGGCGAGGAGCTTTTAAATGCGAACAGGAGGTGCTTTTGAAGGCGACTATCAGGAGCCTTTGAATGAGACAAGAATATGCCTTTCAAGGCGGAGAAGCTTTTGAAGGCGACTAAGTGGACTAAAAGAACCTTTGATGGCGACTAGAAGGAACCTTAGAAGACAACTAGGAGGTAGCTGTAAGGGGTCCTTGTAGGCGATTGCAAGGTGTCCTTCTGGATGAATGCAAGGAGAATTTCAAGGCGACTAGAAGAAGCATCTCTAGACGATTGAAAGGTGTCTTAGGTGACTGCAAGTAACCTTTCTGGCCCACTATAAGGAACCTTTCTAGGCCACTATAGAAAGGCTTCTTCTGGGTGACTAGCTGGAGAAATTCTGGGCAAAAGCAGGAGCCTTTTGGGCGACTAAAAAGAGTTTTTCTAACTGACTAGGAGAATGCTTTATAGAATACTTATTGAAGATGCCCATAAGAGATCTTCCAGAATGACCTTGATGAGATTTTCTTAAGCGATTATAAGGAACCTTTTCCAGCAGACTGTTGGAAGAATTTACAAGTGACTAGAAGTGTCCTCTATAAGCACATGCAAGGACTATTTATAGGGGATTAAAACCTATATATTTATTTATAAGTGGCCTTCATACTTCACCTAAAAGAACATTAATAGATAGACGAAGGAGCAGATGTCTAGTCTGGATTGAATAAATTTAATGATGATGTCATGAAGAAATTAGAAAAAGGATTTCATCTTTCAAGACCGCCCCCTCCCCTTCGTCACAATTTATTCGTTGACTTTTAAGCGCATTAATCGACTCAGAATGTGATTCTATGAAGAACATCAAAAGGAAATATAGGTCTATTTCGTTTCCATCTATGTTACAAACAAATGCACACAAGCAAAATACGCAGTGTGGGGTAGGGTATACAAAATAAGTGACATTGAGGTCCAAAATATTTTATCCAAAACTTTTCATTTTAGAAAAAAATGAAATTTGTCAACAATTTTTGGTATTTTCGACTCGATTTCCAGATATTTTTTTAAAAAAATCAGAAATGTGAGCTCTATATAAATGTCCTCGATTTTACTGCTGTCCTCGATTTCTACAATCCTGTCTTACCTTATCGGGCTGTGGTGATTCCATTATTTGCCTCAATTGTTCATTGTAATGTTCCACAATGACTGTTTCTACAGCTACGGTACACGCCATGGCAGCTTTTTCGCCCATTAGGGCTGTACCTAAACATAAAAAGATAGAAAAGTAAGCACAACCATTCCAAAAATAATTTATTTCTATTCCCTTCACTCACCTGCTCCCAACAAAAAGCCAGCCACATTCCATATGGGTGTCATAACGGTGGGTCGTACACGATGTTTGTTAATGAGTTCTTCAAATTGACGCCGATGTCCCTTTTCTTGTTCCCACATATGGGCTATTGTCTTGCCCATGGGTCCATTGCCCAGAACGGCCATTTGTCCAGCATAGATACGATCAGCACCCAATTCTCCGGCATGATCAACACGTATGATTTCATCTGTTAATTGGGAGGGACGTTTTGGTGGAGTGGCGGAATAACAACGTAGTGTGTAGCTATTAAGACTACAGCGCACGGGCAAAAATTTTACACTGCTGAGCATTTTTCTGCAAAATGAAAAAGGAAATTTCATTTAAATATCAAAAATTTAAAAATAAATCTTTACTTATTCGTTTTATAGGTATCTGTTCCCAAAAATGCTTAAATGGTGGCAAATGCGTGCAAAAGGACAAATGTGACTGTCGCCGAGGTTACTATGGACTGCGTTGTGAATTTTGTAAGTAGGACGAAAAAGAAAAAAAAATAGTCCAAAAATATCTGTTCCTTTTCCTTTCCAGCAAAATGTGAAATATCCTGCATGCATGGTGGTCGTTGCATTGGCACGAATTTATGTCGCTGTGCCGAGGGCCTTAGCGGCAATCATTGTGAAATTGGACGTCGCCAGAGAACAAATTGCAAACGAAAGTGTAAACATGGCGAATGTATGCCCAATAAGACATGTAAATGTAAGGAAGGCTACTATGGACGATATTGCAATCAACGTAAGAACACTCGTGCATTTTTTAGCTAGTCAAAGATTTCAATTGTTGTTTTAATTGCAGGTGTAAAAAAACATTGAACCCATATGAAGATCACAGATGTTCGGGTCAAATAAAAAGAAGAAAACACCAATCAAACTTAGTTTAGTTTCTTAAGGAGATAAATATATATTTTATATTTTTTAAATTTAAACAGCCACCGAATTTATGGATTTGTGGACATTGTGTTATCATTAAAATCCATTCTATTTACTACGTCTATGCGTTCTTGTGTAATTTTTTCGATAAAACCCTTTTATAACAAAACTTGTGATAAATTATTTTTTTTATTTAAATATACATCTAAAAATATTAGATATTGTTCGTGTACGAAAAAAAAAAACAGGATTATATTTGCTGATGGTTTGTATACCTATTACTTTTTAAAACATTAAAGAATAAAATAAGTCCCCATATCTAAACACATACCTAGATTGTAGACAAGGTTTTAAATTCATAATTGATTATACCCTCAGTCATATGGATAGAAAGGGTATATATCATTTGATACGGTCAAAACGTTCCTAGTCGAAATAACGGTTTATACCCTAGGTCTCTTTGGACCAAATCCGTTTCAGAAAATTTGGAGTCGATCTGGCGATGTCCGTCTGTCTGTCTGGCTGGTGCACACGATAACTCTCGAAGGAAGTATCCGATTTGGTCCAAATTTGGTACATCGTGATATTTTTGTCAAACTTAAATCGAGTTCGATTGCGAAAATGGACCATATCGGTCCACTCTATCAAGTCAAAATTATGAATAATTACAACTCTTATAAACACATCCCAATACCAAGGTCTGGTGTTAAGATGGAGTATATCGGTTCACTCATTCTGGTACCTCCCCCCACAAAAGGTCATAATTTTCAAAAATCTGCAAAGAAAGCAAGTCCTAATATTTGCGGCAGTTCTTGGTCAGTTGCAAAAGTGGATAATATTGGTCCACTCCATCAAGTGCCTCTCCCACAAAGGGTCAAAATTTTGAATAATTATAATGTAATTTCACATATCCTTATCTTTTTATGAACCTGATACCTCCTCCCACAAAAATCTAAATTTTGAATATTCATTAAGCTCTTAAAACGCGAAATTAACATCCGATTTCATTTAGACTTGGCACATTTGAATGTTTCTATCAACACAGGATCTGTTACAAAGATGGTAGATATCGGACCATTTCTTTTGCTACTTGCTCCACATATGGTTCAGGATTTTGAAAAACAAAAACCCTCACAGAAGGCGAAATAAGCATCCAACTTTCTTCAAATTTCACACATCCAAACATTGTTGCTAACACAAGATCTGTTGCGAAGAAGCTATATATCTGCAAACCCCTTCTGGCACGTCTCCCACAAAGGGTCAAAATTCGGAATACTTTTATCTGTCATAAATTGCGAAAGAACTTAGTGATTCTTTACATCTTGCTATATCTAAATATGTGTCTCTCAACCAGAAACCTTTGGTGAAATGGAATTTATGTTTTCCCATAAAATGGATATAAATGATGGATTTTCTTAAAATTTTGGCCATACCAATATTCAATGTTTTTGTATAGCCCCCATATAACGGTACCTCCCTCTATTCGGTATTTTGATGATTTCAGCGATATTATTCGCCAGAAATGTTTCAAATTTCGTATTTGAAGATCCTAATCGGTACTACGGCCTATGACAAACAACTGCGTATACAGGTTCTCGTCTTCGTATAGCCCCCTATAAGGGTTTTCATTTAAACGTTATTTTTCTAAGAAATGTTCTTAACATTTTGCAAGTTCCTTCCATTTGGAGGAAGTCCCGGCTGACCTTAGATGCTTTTTTACTTGTTCTTTTTTTTTTTTGCAAAGTGGTCGGCTTAATCCCTTCATTTTTGTTTTAACAAAAACATTTGTTTATTAGTGGAGAACGAAGGTAATGTTCACCAGGAGGTAAGGCGGGGAATACCTATGTTTCGGAAAAAGCTACCTCATCAGTCCCCTTGTTTTTGTCTGGTATATTCCACCTAGGAGTTATTTTAATAAAGGGTTTAAGCCTGACCATTTTCCTTTCCTCATTTTATACCAAGTCATTTAGTTCTCTCGAAAGTTATCATGCTCGAATGACCTGCACCTAAGCTCGTACAATGTTGCCTTTATTGCGATGAGTTACATTTCATGCGTATCAAATAATTTTTAGGGGGACAGCATCGCATAGTTCTACGCTGTATATTATAAAGGAATGACTTATAAAGAATTCGCCAAATATAGATATTTTTAGATCGAGTTGAAAATCCGAAAACAAATGTTGTCAATATCCTCCTCTTCAATTTTTTGAACAAAAATGCGCTCACCAGGGCTTGATAACATTACGGCAACTTCTTGCTCATTTTTGAGGAAAAATGGCCCAATTATACATCTGGACCAAATAGTGTTGGGCGCATCGGATTTTCAATGTATGCGTGTGGATTTTTTTGTTCCCCGAATGCGACAAATTTGCTTGTCTACAGAAGGGGCTGACGGTTCTTCTTTTCTTTCGAAATCGGTATGCAAACAACTATAGTCGTTTAGCGGAAGGATAAAACTAATTATCTTTCAAGTCTGACATGAGCTTAGTTTTGCTTTTTACAAAATAAGTTTAAAAAGTTAGAATGCGGACCCACATCTGTTTATTTTACTTTCGAGAAATCTGCCCCAAATCCAAGCAACAGCATTTGGTGCTATCTGGAAACAATCACGTATTCCATTCCTGTATCCGCACATTTTAAAATGTCTTACAATTTCCTTTTACCTAGTGTAACACTACTTGGAATAGTTTATATAAGAAGCTGTCAACATATGATGAAATTCAGGGCATTTTATTAAACCAAATAAGTTCACCTAAGAATCTATGTATACAATGTTATGGTCCCCTTTGATTTCAGTCTTTTTTGTGAAGGAATTTCTTCAATATTGATGGTATTAATTCCGAGCCATCAAGGTTTTACATCCTACAAATGGCACGCGAGCGGTTTTTGTGAGATACAGCCGCGAAGCATAATTGTTGCTGAAATGTTGATATATTATTGAATGGTTCGTACTTACATATAAAAATGAGTTTAAGGGGCTCCTTAAAATTCTATCTGTAATGTAAATAAATTAATTAAATAAGTAATAATAAATGATTAAATTTCGACACAAGCAACTCACAAGAGGTTCAACCTCAAATACAAAGTACGTATTAGAATATTGCCGCCGTATAAAAATAAGAAACAAATAACAAAGCGGGAATTCGTAATAATGATATAAAATCAAAACAAAAAACACGACTGCATATCAGGGAACTACAGATCGAAATTTTGTTGAACATCTACAGCTGTTATGGCAATAATTCTGGCAAAGGCGACAGATGGCGCTAAGGGGTTTCGCTTGAAAAATGGCTAAAAGTTGCCATTTTGAAAATTTTAATTAACAAGCAAATAAATTAAGTTATGAAAAATGTATACCAAAACAGTTTCCATCATACTTCTGAAAAAATCTTGGCACTTCACAAAAATTTTGTAATTAAAAATCTATTTTTAATTTTATATTTTCATATAATGTTAATTGACCAAAGATCCAACGAGAACAAACACAAACAATTATTATTAACATAGGTTTTTTTTGTAAATACATATAAATATGTTTGTAATTATGAAATTAATTTACAGAAAAATTGAGTATGTATAAATATATATGTACAAATATATTTGAATATGTATGACCGTTATTTTTTTTGGAGCTGAACAATGTGGCTAGTCCGCGTATAACAGTTAACTCTCATTTAATTCACATGAAAAAGAGAGTAAAGTATGGAAAAAATAAACAGCGAAATTTTATAACGTAAACGGAACGTAGAAAGGGACGCTGCCTTTTTAACTTTAATAGCACAACCGATATATCTGTTAATGAACTTCGGATTTCCATTATAGGTATTGAGTACTCCAAATATTAATAAAACTACTTTAAAGAATGTAAAAATTGTTCTACTTTTAAAGATGAGAGTACATAATGTCAATTTATAAGGGGGAAACGACGGAAGGATTCAAGTGCGGCTCTGTTGTGAAATTCTCTAACACATTTTTTGAGTTACCGACAAAAGTCGGTAAAATTAAAATGTTTTGTAATTTCGGTTAAAAACGAAGTTTGTTGGTAATTTAGCGACGAAATAAAAGAAGTCGCTTTGACCTACAGATAGGTACCAATGTTGTCAACTTTGACTTCTTTTTTATATCAATAAAAATTTTGGGTTTCAAAGTTACCGATTTCTGTCGGTAACACAGAAAATGAGTTGGTGAATCCCACTACTAGAATTTCTTTATGATATGTCACAAAATATGCCATGTAGAGACCTTAATGTAAACACATCTTTATAGTTCCATATTGTCCTTCTTATTTCTTATTTTGGCTATTACTCAAAATTTTTAATTTTTTTTATCAAAAATATAGGTATTTCAAAATATTACCCACTTTACATAGCATTTACGTTACTCTCACGTATTCATTACAGTTCTCTAATCTGTAATAGTGCTTATGCTACTGGCTATACTGCAACAATTCTGATTCGGCAACAAATTCATCCGTACCGAAATCTAAACATAACATGACAAACAGAACCGAAATAATAATTGCAACTTTCCATCCCTGAAATGAAAATAACAGTGCAGTGTTAACAGTTAATATCAACAGAGTTAACCCGCATGGTACCAACATTTTTTTCCATAAAATCATATTTTATGACTTGTTAAGCATATTATATAGGACAATTATATGGGTTCTAAACCAAATCATAGACTGAAGAAAAACTCTTTCCAACATTTTGGTATCTTAAGAATAAATACTTAAATGTTGTCTTCCAATGTGGCGGTATTGTCTGTGTAGACTTTAGCTTTAACATAGCCACATAAAAGTAATGCAAAGGCGTAAAATTGCACGGTCCAGGCGGCCAATCATTGAGCCAAAAATTAGCTTCTTCGCAAAATACAAGAAGCGCTCTCTTTTTACAGAACAAGCACTTTCATAACATTTAATGATTTTTGACAGTGAAACAAAACGCGAAACGTTAGTGAGCTCTTGGAACCAAAATATTTAAACTGTTGATTGATGTGTTGAATTTTCAATTTTGAGGAATAGTGTGCATCCCACTTGAACGATTAAAAAATTTAGGCAGATCAAGAAATTCAAACTTTTATTTGTTTATTATTTCGATTACTTATAAACAGAATGACGAATATATAGAAGATTTATTAAGGTGATCTCATTAAAAAAAAACATTCCTAGCTCTGTATTTTCTGAAATTTACCTAGAACTAATTAGAAAGACGAGAAGTTATCATATGTATAATTGTTAAAATATTTAAAAATGTAATTTTACGAGGTTACCCTTTAAATTTTATCAAATGCGAACTTAAAAATTAATAACACTCACGCCCAATTTTGATTTTCTCTAATTTTTAAATAACAATGTCCGTACTCCCTTAAAAGGACAATGACAAAATGTGGGTTAATATTAACTCCCATCTCTGTTATTAACATTATGTTGTTTCTCACAAACAAAAAACGCAAGAGAGAGGGCATTGTTTCAGCTGTTTACATTCTCTCATTCGGCACAACTTCACATTTTCCATACTTCTCTTCATTCGTATGGAACAATGCTGCCAAGTTGCCAGCTTACCATCGTCTGTCGAATGTCTTTGGATTTCGTTAGTTTAGAATTGAACGCGAGCGTTAATGGACGTGTCGTTGCGCGTAAGTGATAGAAAGTGATTGCTACGCCGAATGTGATTGAGTGATGATGATGATGATACATACTGCATTTGATGTTGTGAAGTCTTGCTTCTGAGAGAATTGAATGTGTGTGATATTTTGTTGACGGCAACAACAATAATAAAAATCGTAAAGGAAAGAAGAAAAGTAAATGACCATCAAATGTTCGAAACATACATAACAAAATGTTGTTTAAAGTAAAATAGCAGAGCAAAAAAAAGTATAAATAAATAACGTGTGTACAACTCCTTATGTGTGGCTGCGAGTGATGAAAAAAGAGTGTGCAAAAGTAAATCGGTATTATTTTCAATTGCAAAACAAAAAGGAGAAACCGGTAAAATAGGAGGTAAAATATTGTAGTTTTAACAAAACATAAAAAAGGAATGTGAAACACAACAAAGGAAACCTTTAAAGTAAAGCCATCATCTCCTTCTCCTCCTGTCGGCATTTATGTTAAATTATTTGGAAATACCTACCTACCTATATTTTTGAATCGTTGCCGGTGTGTTTGTGTGTGCGTGTAAACGTTTTGCAACAATTATTATTTTGTGTATCCTTTTGGGAGGGAGGATGGCCCAACAAAACAAATAATTTGTGGGGCGTCACAAAAAGGCAAAGAAATGCAAAAAAAGTTGTTGAAAGTCAAATTAAACGTGTGTTAGTGTGTGTACTTTTTATGCCGTTCTTGTTTTCCTTCCCCCCATCTCTCTCTCACTCTGAGTGAAGATCATTATCAAGAGCATCAACATAATTGTTATTATTGAGATTGTTGTGGTTGTTGTCTCACGGTGTAATTCTCATTGAAGTGTGAGTTGATGGGAATGAATTCTTGTTATTGTTATTCTTTTTTTTTGAGTAAGGGAGACAGAAACAGCAACGACGACGATATCATCTATCAAAACATGCAGTAATATTTCTGTTGAGGCGATGTCAATTATCATGACATTTTGACACATTTCTGTTGTTGTGTTGTCTCATTACTTAACCGTTGCAGAGCAGGCAAAACGGAGAGTTTTAGTGGGAATTCTTATTGCCTGTGTTTGCTCAGCCAATTGGATTTAATTAGAAAACAAATTTAAATTGTTTAAACATAAATAAATCTGTAGCAAATCCAGAAGAATTTATGTCAATAGAAAAAAATGAAATGAAACGAAAAACAACAAAATCTCCATGGGTGGGTGTCGGAAAGCAGCATAAAAAACTCCAAAGCCTTAAAGAAAACAACAAGTTGCTCGTAACAGTGTGATGATGCTGTGACGATGATAGGTGGTACCAGTAAGTGAGGAAAGGGGGTTAAATGTCACATTAAGCCAATCCAATTCATCCATAACAGACAGACAGAAAGGCAAGAAAAGCCAAGTCAAACCAAGCAAAGTAAAGCAAACAGTGGGTGCCAGGCAATTTAACAATTGACAGATGTTGATTGTTGTTCTACGCAATTTCCTTTTTTCTTTTCCTTGCGAGACGAAGGCCAACAAACTACACCAAACTCATGGCACAATAAAAGCAATAACAATAAGCAATAAAGGTCAACGGATTAAAGGTCAAATCACAAGAACACAAAGTAATAACAGAAACCAACAAAAGCAACAACAAAGCAAAAAAACGTAACGTAAGGTAATATTTGTGGTGTTTGTTGTTCTTCTTTGCTGATTTTATTTGTTTTAACGCTCAAGCGGGCAAGTGGTAGATTGTGCTCCACAATCAAAGCTGGCGTGTGTGTGGAGTAAAATAAAAACAAAAACGCCCTAAATTGCAAAACAAGTGGAAATGAAGATATTGAAAATAAAGTTTTGGCTAAAAGGAGCCCCTTTTCATAAATAACCGAGAAAATAGCAAAAAGGATGCTGTGAGTGCGGGATTGGCCCGATTAATGCTTGGCAAAATATCCTTTGAATCTAAAATTGAATATTCGATATTAAGAAACCTAGGACCTGGGATAAGCGTTGTACGCGGATATGGAAATCCCATGGAAAAAAGACACCAAAATGTCGATCCATCTTTTGCTACCCGACCACATTCTTTCTGGGATCTAGAAAATGGACAACATTTTCCCGATATTTAAGCCAGACAATGATGCCAGTAAAGGTGAATTGTACTAACCAATATAGTTTTGGTTCAGAAAGGTAAAAAATCTGGAGGCTTCACGTACCCACAGTTTCAGAGAAAAAAAATGTCGCTGTTTCTGTTCGAATTATCCACATATTGTCCCAAAACCTCGGAAAGTGACAGGAAGGTCTCGTTACATACATAGTTCGGGAAATTATGCCAGCGAAGGGGAATGACATCGGTCAATTTTATTATTATTATCATATTATTATTATTATTATCACTCAATCTGACTATCACCAGATGATCCCGGAAATTATGACATAAATGTAAATCAAAAGGGTCCACTTTGCTTAAAGAATTTTAAGCCGTTGCATCCCTTACTTTGGGAGACTTAAAATATTGTTTAGTTCGTCACAAGCCAGCTGAAAATTGTGCAGGTTTGCCCTAATACTGAAGATAGGGAAGGATACCAGTGAAAGAAAACTGTTATTTAGTTGACATTCCTACTGTCGATGTAGCCAGTGGTCCAGATGATCGGTTTCCTAATTTACATAGAAAATCTGGCTCCGTCGATACCGCAAGTCATATCCACACGGTTCGAAGATGGCGGAGCAAATTAATCTTCAACTAAGTTTCAAACGTTGGACAATAAGTTATATGCATGGAATTCGAGAGGAATAAGTTTAAGCCCCGTTTAATATAAGAGGGAGAGGTTTCCTCAAGGTGGGGTAAAATCTCCGGAATTGTATCCCCCATATCGCATAGATATTGTCACGTGTCTGGGCAGCTTTTCAATGACCTACCCCACACTAAGGTCAGGGTATTATGTCTTTGTGCATTTATTTGTAACAGGCACAACGATAGAGACCCTCTTGATGATCTGCATAGGATCACATTCTGAGTCGATTTATGCGTCTGTCCGTCCGTCTGCCAATGTATTTTTGGGAACGAAGTACAGATTGCATGTATTGTCCGACCAATATGAAATTTTGCACAAGACATTTGTTTAGTTCAAGGACGAACCCTATTGAAATTGGAGATAATCGATCAACATATATATCTTCGCCCTATTTGCCTTTTGTTGTGCATCAAATGTATAATATTAGTCCAAATACGATTGAATTTGGCACATATAAGCAAGTTTGCTGAATTGTTAAATTTGCCCTCCACAACCGCATTATGCACCCCGTAACAACAATATTCGGAGAAATATATCAAATACATCTCAAAAATACTTTTCTTGCTAGGGAGTCCTCCCAGTGCATGTACAGGGTTAGATAAAAAACTGCAACAAAGACCAGCGCCATATTTTTCCCTTTTTTTTTAATTTTATTGAATTAAAGCAAAAATGTCGGAAATAGCATCAAATTTTAAATATGTTTAGATTTCTTCGAATTGGGCACATTTGGCACGAATTATATGGCATTCAAACGGCCAATGAAACTGTCACATGCTGCCCGAATGTTGCTCTGCTGTATTTTGGCCCATTTCCGGCGAAACGCTTGCTTGAGGTGATCGACACTTTGGGTTTTAGTGCCAACCTTGTTTTCCAAAATACCCCACACACAATAGTCCAACGGATTGGTATCCGGAGATTTTGATGATCATTGGGCGCTGGGAATGAAGCGAGGAACCTCATTTTGTAACCACTCTTGGTTGGCGCGTGCTGAGTGCGATGGAGCTGAGAATGGAATGTCCAAGCTCTGCGGACAAAATGTATGCGTGTCCAAGGCTTAAATATACCCTCCAGAATATTTTCGCGATAAAATTCGGCATTTATTCTGGCGGAGAACGACCTTCAGCTGTTATGGCGGCCCACACCATCACCATGGCCGGGGCGTGAGTTCTGGTGGCCAACCGAAGGTGCACATTTTCAGTTGACCTCTTTGGCAGGTAAATACGATCATTTTGCTTGTTTACAAACTGCTGGACAACCAAATTCGGCAGTTCACCACTTTCGGCCAAGCGAAGAAACTCTTTAGCTCTTTTGAGTCTATTTCCTTTCTGTTGCGGTGTAAGTTCTTGCACTATTTGGAATTTCAATGGCTTTACCCCGAGCTCATTTTTCAATATTTGCCGAATGTAATATTGCGATATATTCAGCTCACTAGCCATTTTACGGCGTGTTTCGATCAGGTCGCTTCTTTATTTTTCGAACCATTTCTGCTGATTTTGCTGTTTTCTTCCGTCCACTTCCTTGACGTCGGGCAACCCTGCCATTATCACGGTAACGAGCGATGGTACGAGACACAAAATATTTATTCACATTTAAATGCTGGAGTGCTCTAACGATAGCCACTTGTGGTTTTCCATCCAAATATAAAGAAATCACACCATCACGCTCGAATAACTTTTTTCCGAGCTGTCACTGGGCTTAGAAACGACAGCAGTCTGAAGTTGGCTGCCGTTTTTTCATCTCACCTTGTATTGAGACTGGAAAAATATTATTTGAGTGCTGCTACCGACTCAAGGTGTAGCAATATTAGGAACGCCCAAGATCTGAGTCCGTAATTACATTCAATCCTTACAACGACTTTCACAGACAACAGATAAATTGTAAATTTCACTTGAAGACTGGACATTGCTCCCATTACGGGAAGATTTTTATATAGTTTTGAGGCTTCCAAAAAAATATTGTGTGTTTATTTTTGGAAGAAGAGAGTCCTTGTATTTTTGTTAAACAAATTTGGATGGTGGGAGTTAATCGGTTCTTCCCTGAGACATTACATCCAAGGCAAGAAAAAAGACTCTATTTAATAGTTAACGGTGCGTTGTAAGTCATTAAGAGGAAGTTCTTGATGAGAGATAATGGATAATGGATGCTTTTTGGAATGGTCATTGGTTAAGCTTGCGTTATTTCAAAGCTCTGACATGCATGTCAATGTTGTTGCTGCTGATGATGATTAATTATGGTCCCTGCCGTGAAACCTTTGTAGCTAGACAAGCCTAATAATTATTCGAAGAATTCCATTGAGAAGAAAAATAACGAAGAAAGTGCTGTTGAAAACAAAAACAAAGATAATTTAACTCCCTCGCCACTTGGACCAAAGCTGGCGGAACAAAAAAAAAAAAAAAAAAAAAAAAACAGACAAAACTTATCAAAAGTCATTTTAGTTCAAGAATTTCGTTTTGTAACCACGAAAGAAGGTCCGTCAATGGAACGTAAAAAAATAAACAAACCATCTTAGAAGCAAAACAGAAAAACAAACTACACAACAAAACTAAAACTATAATAAAAAAGGAAGGAAATAAGCGCCACTAAAACAGGTTTTCTTTGCCCCAAAAAAGAAAAAA